TGAGAGCTGGGTTGCAAAGCTGCCCACAGACTCTGCAGCGCTGGTTCAGTTTAATCCCCAGCCGCCGGGCGAGGGTCCCACATGGCGCGACAGACCTCTCCTGCCGCCCACTGCTCCCCTCAGCTGTGTATTTCATTAGTCTGCCTGCTCTGCTCTCCCCTTTAGCTCTGGTGAATTCTCTCACCTTCTGCGCTTCTGACTGTACCCAGTGCTTGTATAAATAAATAAATAAATCTTAAAAAAAAAAAAAGAGCTGGGGTACAGGCCAGAGATGTGGGGGGTGAGAGGATTAACCAGAGACAGAGTGGGGAACAGAACAGGCAGAATGACTTAAATACACTGCTGAGGGGAGCAGCGGGTGAGTCAGGAGAGGTCTGCTTTGCCATGTGGGTTGTTCTCTGGACGGCAGGGGATTGAACTCATGCTGCAGAGGCTGCAGATTGCTTCATAGTACGATGCTTAACCCCTTGTGCCACCAGGGAGGCCCCTGTGTAAGACATATTTAAAGTCATGAGAGTGGATCAACAAAAAAGAGTTGAGAGGCAAACACTAAATTCTGGGTCATTCCCAGGAACCGGGAAAATTAGGAAAAACTGGCAAGAGAGTAACTATAAAGAAGGAGTAGCCGTAAGGAAGGATGAAAACTAGGAGGGTGTGGCATCCTGGAGTAAAAGAAGGTATTTTAAAGGTGAGGGAAAGATCATCCTGTCAAATCTGTTTGAGGACTGAGAGTTGGCCATCATGACATGGAGGCCATTAGGGAATTTGATAAGTACTTGTTCAGTGGAGTGGTGGTGGGAGAAGCCTTATCATACTTTATTTAAGAGAGAATTGGAGTCAGTGAATATAGATGACTGGAGTTTTATAAAGAGGAGCAAAGAAATAGGACAAGAGCTGGAGAAAGAAAGTGCATCAAGAAGAGGGCTTTTTTTAAACTGTTGTTTAGTTTGTAATATACTCGTTTTCAATTGCTGCTGTAACAAATTACCATAAGCTTAGTGACTTAAAACAATGCAACTTAAATATCTTATAGTTCTGTAGGTTAGAAGTCCAATTTGGGCCTCACTGGGCTAAAACCAAGGTGTCAATAAGATTGTTCTTTTCTAGAGACTCTGTGGGAGAATCTGTTTTCTTGCCTTTTCCAGTTTCTGGAAGTCACCCACATTCTTTGGCTCAAGGTCCCCTTACTTCATATGTAAGGCAGCAACACTGCATCACTCTGATCATTCTTCCACAGTCACATCTCCCTCTGACTATCTTATTCTGCCCCCTCTTCTACTTTTAAGGGCCCATGTGATTACTGGGATAATGCAGGATATTCTCCATGTATTAAGATCAGATCACTAGCAACTTTAATTCCATCTGCAACCTTAATTACCCTTGCCAAGTAACCTGACATATCCCAGGTTCCAGGGATTAGGACCTGGGCATATTCGTGGAACCAATATATTGCCTGCTAATTTTGGGACACATTTCAGAGTACTTGTTGATGGCAGTAATCCAGTAGAGCTAAAGCACACGAGATCCAGGAGAGGACAGAATTGTTAGAGTGACATGAGCAAATGGAGGAACTGGTTACATAGGAGCAAGGAGAATTCTACCTATTTAATAGGAGAGGAGAGAGAAAACAACATGGGATAGATGCTGGTCAGTGGGTAGATGTGGTCGGAGCTTGTATGAGGCATTTTATTTCTCATGGTCTTACAAGGTCATCGGCTGACAGCAAGGACGGGGAGAAGGTGTTGGAGGTATAAGAAGAGGCTAGAAAACTGACATCTGAGAGAACATGAACATCAGGGTAGTGTTAGGGGCCCACAGTAGGTTTGTGGTCATTCAAGTGTGACCATTCTGCTTGTTTTCTTCATGGAAGCAGACAAAGCCTCAGCGTGTCCATTAATATGGGCAGAATAACTACTTTACAAACTTTAAACTTCAGTACTTTTCCACAAGCAAAGCTGCCTTCTCATTGAGAAATTTACATGGATTATCTCATTTAATCCCCAGAATGATTGAGTAAAGTGGGTAGTATTATTACACCCCTTTTTCAGAGAGGAAACTAAACAAATAAATCATAATTTGTTTTAGGTATTTGTTTTATTTGGAGGTATTTAAAATAATATTTACCTTACAAAATTCATTCAATTTATGTAATTTAATCACTACATGTGCTAGGAATCTGGCTATTAAAGTTAGAGATGTATTTCTTCATTTAATTATCAGGATGAAGTAATTATTTTTCAGGTAATTCTTATCTCTTCTTTTGGTTTAGTTTATTCGTATTACTGTTACAGAGCAGGGAGAGGGGAAGCCCAGACCCCGCAAACCTGCCTGCTCTAAATAGGTTCTGCCATTCGGCGCATCAACACAAAACATATGAGACTTTAATGGGAAGGAACTTTAATACAATTAGTAAACATACAGGAAAGGCAAGGAATATAGTTTCTAAATCAAGCACCCAAAGCTACCCGACCCCTCGTGGACAAAAGTTCACCCAACCAGGATTGGTCCAGAGCAAGGCCCCAAAGCCTGCCACAAGTCTAAAGCATTTTCCAGTGGGGACCCACAATAAAAGATCAGAAACCACCAGACTAGTCTGGAAGGAAAAGAGCAAAATCAAAATAAAGATAAAGGCTGCCACTGTCACCTCCCCATGGGTCTCTCACCCACACCTGTGTCACCCAGTCCAGACCAAAAGGCAAGCGCAGTTTCTTCACACATCTCTCGGCTCCTCCAGGTCTCCTTCTGGCTCTCCACCCTGCTTCCTTCCTTCCTCAGTCTCCTCTGCAGCTTCTTTTTCTAAGCTCCACCCTTCTTTTGGGTGGGGCAGGAAACTTGGAACCTCCCCCTTTCCTGGGGACCACCCTGTTACATTACGTCTTCCTTGTTCTCATTTATTTTCATTTTGTAAAGTACTCATATAACATTTCTTCAAATTTACTAGCATGGAAATAATAATTTCCCCAATATTCTTAATGCAATTCCACATTACTACCTTTATCTTGTTTATAGTTCCTAAATTTGAAGATAGTATATTTTTAAAAGCAATTGTTTATTTGTGTAGAATTTTGTAAGCTGTTTTAATACACTATTTGTAGATCTGGTGCTTTAGAACTAATTTCCATACAGATTAATTTAAACACTTTTACCTCATTTAAAAGAAAGGGGCTCCTCCTACTGTTTTCCTGGAATAATGCTAATTGTTACATCCTACTACATGATAAATAGAATACCATTTTTGTAGGCAAAAATCAGTATGTAAACCATAACTCTTCAACATCCAAATGTTTCTTATATGTAATAAAAATTGCAGGTGATCTCTAGGAAATCACTGACTTAGATAGTGAATGCCAAAGGTTAATTCTGCCATGCTCCTTATTGTTTAATAGGTTTTTTCTGGACCAAAGAAGAGAGTACAGTGTAACAAAATAAAATGGGTTCTGGGTTGGGCTATGTACTAGTTTTTGCACTTGAAGGATACCTGAATAAGAAACACTGGCCCCTGTCTTCTCTTCTAAGCCTACCATTGGAAAGCAGAGATCAGTTATAATCCTGGTTCTTTTATTGCCTTTTGGTTAATGTGCAAATCACTAAAGTACTTGAGTCTGTGCAAATCACCAAAGTATTTCAGTTTCAGATTCCTAATCTGTGAACTACCTATTTCATCATTACCAGTTGAAGTTTTCTGTATGGAGAGGACAGTGGTTTGAGCTGTCTGTGATACCAGGCCACCACTCTGTGGAGGTGTGTGTGCACTGCAGGGCACTGGCACTGCTGCCCCACTCAAACACCAAGCCGTTTGGCATTTGTGCTGTTCACTGCCTAACCCTTGGGCTCTAAGCTATTTTTGTGTCCCCCACCTTTCTTAAGGGCCACTTAAGACCTTGTTAAATTGACAACTTCCCAGGACCTGCCCTAGAAGGTGCTGAATAAGTGGGTTGGGATGAAGCACCCAGTAATTTGTATTTTTAATTAGTACCCCCACTGATTCCTACTGTAAGGGAAATTTGGAAAAGTGATCATTGCTTACTTTCACTCCCGCTAGTGAATCAGGGCAGCTTTTTAATTTTCCAGCGAGTATCTTATATGGAATATGTTTTTTTGGTTATTAGAAAAAGATGCTTTTGAGGCCCTTGAAGAAGAAGCTGTTGCTTACTAACATTCAGAGTATATTGTTCTGCAGCTTTTAACTTCCCTTTCAGCAGGGTGGTTCAAATGAGAGCTGCTTTTCTGCAAAAGGCGAGGAGCAAACTTCAAAACTGTTCTGGCCAGGGGAGCCAAACTAGTCCCTGTACTTGGCTACCAGGATGAGGATCTGAGTTTTATCAGATCCAACTCATTCCTTTTGTAGATGAGGCCAGGAGCTGAGGTGACCTGCACCATAGTTTACCTCAGACTTTGGATGGAAAGTGAAGCCAGAAGGATTTACTCCTCTCCCTTAACAAGACGCATTGTTAAAAGTTGTCCTAGGCAAGGAGTTGAGAAAACATAGGTGCAGCTTTTTAGCATTTTCACCAAGCTGCAAGTCTGCATCCCACTAAGCGCTGCCGGCAAGACGTAGTAAGCCAAGACGTAGTAAGCTCTTGTTACAGGTGGCCTTTCTTCCTCCCTCCTATATTCTCATTGTTAAAAGGGATCAGAGGGGCTCTGGTGAGAAATATAACAGCAAAGGTTTCAGAAGAGAGTCTTGAGCTACTCTTCACCTTTTAAAATACACTTAGGGGGCCTCCCTGGAGGCGCAAGGGGTTAAGCACCGCACTATGCAGCAATCCGCAGCCTCTGCAGCACGAGTTCGATCCCCGGCCAGGGAGCAACCCTCATGGCGAAGCAGACTTCTCCTTTCTCGCCTGCTGCTCCCCTCAGCAGTGTATTTCAGTCACTCTGGCTGTTCTGTTCCCCCCGCTCTGTCTCTGGTGAATCCGCCCCCCACCCCTCGCATTTCTGGCCTGTACCCCAGCTCTTGCATGCATAAATAAATCTTCAAAAAAATAAAAATAAAATACCCTTAGGACAAAAATCGGCCGCTGGGCTAAGGACCACAGCACTTCAAAACGTTTGCTCCCGCGTGGAAGGTGTTGGCCTCTTCACAAGATAAAGCGGTGTAGAGGGAATAAATCGTTTGCACCGAGGACCGCCTGCTCTCGGGTTAGGCACTCCCTGGGGAACCCCCAAATCCCCAAAGCAGGCTTAGGATCGCTGGGGGGCGGGCGCTTGGGGCGGGGCGATGCCAGTCACGTAGCCGCGGAGCCCTCTTAGGGATTTCCCTACAAGGACTTGCGCTGCGAAGCCCGGCCCCTGGCCGAGCCCAGGAATGTGCGGCGCCACCAGCCCTCAGGACAGACTCAACCATCTTACCACAGAAAAGGGGGGAAGAACCCACTAGAAGGGGCCCCGAGAAGACGGGATCGCAGTCAGTGGCGCAGAGAACCACTACACGTTCTTCCATGTCCCAAGTTTCTCTCTTTACACTTTCTTCTCGTGCTCTCGGCCACTACTGCGCCCCACCCACGCAGGCAGCTCCCTCCCCGCCCGCCGAGCGTTCGGTCAGGCCGGCCGCTGGGCCGCGAGCGCCGCCCGGGCCTCCTTCCGGCTTGCTGGGTGGGGGCCGGAAGTGCTGGTGTTTAGCGGCCCGCGGCGTCGGGGGGCGGTAGTAGCGGCTGAGGCTTCACCGGAGTGTCAGGTTCTCGCGTTCGCGCCGGGTGAGTGGGGCTCGCGGTGGGGCGCGCGAGGCCCATCGGGGGCTCGCAACCTCTGGGTGGCCGGGAGGGCGGAGGGGCCCCGCGGCGGCTCCCCAACGCCTGGAGCGCACCTGGGCAGGTGGACCGGCCGGTTCCCAGGTTTCGAGTCCGAGGCCTTGCCACCTGGAGCGAGGGCCGGGGCCGCGAGTGGCTCGACGCGAACTTCTCTCCTTTGCCCAAACTTGGGGCTCGGGAAGTGTGGCTGAGCTCCCTGGCGCCGGGAGCTCGGCGACAGCCGGGCGGGGAGGAAACCCGAGCCCCACGACTCTGTCTCCGCGGCTATGTTTAGTTTCTAACGTAAACTTGTCCGATTCGAGAGAGTTTGCGCCAAAACCGTAGCCCAGTCTTCCCCCTCCTGCAGCTGTTGTGGGAGCCGTGTTTGGTACATTTGGCAGGAATAACCAACTCAAATTAGCAACTTCTTCAGCTCACTGTCCACTTCTGCAGTTAGCACTTTAAAAAAAAAAGTGATGTTTGGACTTGGACAAATGGGGGTTTAGGATTTAATCTGCGGATGATAAAAATACCAAAATAGAATGTAGAGTTCCTTTTGGATGGAGAGTTTATGTTAAGTCAGTTGCCAAAGTGTTTGCATCTAAAGTAATTGAGTAGATATATGGAAACACACATCAGTTCTTTATAGCAGAAATGTGCGTTCCATTGAGATTTTAGCTTAAGTGCGATAGTTTTCTATATGTGAAGGTGAAGAAAGTATTTCTTAAAATCACTATTTGTTGAATGCTCTAGAAGGATTTTGATAAAACTTAACCAACTTTATTTTCAAGAGTGAGGCTTTTACAGGCAACTAAATCCTTTGTTAAGTGCTAAGAACTTTTTGGGTGTGGCGAACCAACCCTGCCTTCAACCGGAAGTTTGCAAAAGAATGGATAACTTGGTTTAGTTAAAAACAGAAGCACCAACCTTATGTAGTTTTGAAATATGTAGTTTTGAAAAACTGGTTGGTGCCCCAAAATACATTCATTTAGCTTGAAATTTAAAATAAAAATGTACTGATTAAATGGGACTGTGGGGTTTGTCTAGATTTGGAAAGCAGACCTAATACATGCGCTATCCCATTAGGAAGCGTTTTCTAAGATGGGAGTTTTTGTTTTTTTAATGTATCCTATTAATCAGAATACTATCCATTTGAGTGTTAGTTATGCCCAAAAGTCTGTAGATTATTTGTAAATGCTGGACTTTCAGATTCTAACTAAAGAAATGGAATGTAATAGTATGGACTAATCCCATCTTAAAAATAGTATCCAGAGAGTCTGAAAAATCTGGTTGCCCATTGTATGTGAGGAGAGGATCTCGAGTTTCCATTTCTTCCCCTTAACCTAGTTTTCACATCTTCCTTACATGGTTGGTATTCCTACTCTTGTTATAACCCTGAGTGATTTACTTCCGATTAGATCAGGAATCACAAATTCATTGCCACTAACACTGCCCTCCCCTGATTTAAAATAAGAGTATATCCCTTTAGATCTTTAAATGGAATCACCTTGGCCATTGCTGTCTCTTTAACTATCTCTTGCATTGGAAATCCTTACAAACTTCATGGAATCCCGCTCTGCCAGGTTTCCCTGTTTTGAAATTTTATACTACGGATATCACACTAAAGATCTTTTTAAATATTTCAAAAATAGACTCTAGACTAACTTAGAATAGGTGAAGAGCTTCATAACTTGAAAATTTCAGATGTTTACATGGCAACATTCTTTTCCTAAATAAAGACTAGTTATGTTGATGTATGAAATATTTTCAGCTTTATTTTACCCTTCCTTTCTAAACTTCTTACAAAAGGTGTATATTTATTGAAGATGTATTACATGAACCCTCACTGGTTTGGTAGAAGTGAAAATGGACAGCAAACAATGACAGTGTCATAAATGATCTGCTCTTTGGGATCATAGTACTGTTCTGGTTCGGCTTCCTCTCCACCAGTGTTTATTTCATCCCTACTTTTAGTTTGTAGTAAAAAAAAAATATGCCACAGTTAACTTATTTTGGAACAACTGACTGAGAGACTGAACTCCCTATTCCCTGTTTCTTAAACGCTTCAAGTTTCTGTTGAGAGGAAGACTCATAGATTAAAATCCAACCTCCTTGAAAAAGTAAAGATCAGATAGTAAATTGTCCGACATTATACTACAATTTTTGGTAGAATTAACTACCTTGTTAGAATTAGGACTAATTCCCCAATCTCTTAATTCTAAGGATCTTGTGGTTTCTAAATGGTATAGGTTTTTGCAACGCCTCCTCCCTCAACCCCCAATCTTTTAGAAAGTCACAATGATCTTTTTTTTTCCTGAGTTCACAGTATTTAATAATCATGTACCACCTTTGACTTATTTTTTTGCCACACAATGTTCTAACTTGAGAGTAATACCTCTGGAATGAAAACTATGTGACTCATTTCATAAATTGAACCAATCATCTCATTTCTTTCTAGTTGCCTCCCCAACCATATTTTAAACTTCTTGACATAGGACATTTGCCTTACATTTCTTAATTCTTAAATAGTTATTCAACACTAGTGACATTTGTAACACATGTGATTAACTGATCTTCTATTGATCAACATACTAAGAGTTGATGATTAAGTATCAAATGAACCTAAGAAAAGCTGTATGTGAGCCATGGTCAGTGCTGACCAAAAAAGTGACTTAAAACTTTATATCTTTATATAACTTAAAAAATTTTATAATGCATTTACAAATTTAAATAACACATAATTAAAAGAAGACTGAAAGGACACACATATATATATGTACATATTTGTTTATTTACTTAAAACCAAAATAAGCATTTTTTTCCAAAATAAGCATTTTTAAGTTATGTAGAGGACCATCAAATCTAGTAATCAAATCTAGTAATAAACATCTTTTTTGTTTAAAGATCCCTAGTGTCAGCTATTTGACATTTAATTCTCATAATTTGTTTGCTCTTAAAATAACTGACATTCCTGCATCATTAGAGGAAGATAATGTTAAACAAAACAGACTATTTTTAAAGATATGGTTTGGTTTGCAATGACATAGCATGCCTAAGATATTAAAGAGATATGGACTGGTAGATAAATCCTACCCTTCTGGGTTCAATCACTCACCCCAGTCCTTGAGTTCATTTAAGAGACAGAGGAATAATACACTCCATAGTTCTTGTAGTTTTTACAACTACATTTTGAATAGAGAGAAAAATTATAGCTCTACATAGGGTAGATAATGGTATTTATTGTCCTCAAAAGGTGTTACAGAATGAAATATCCATTTAAAAAATGGTTTAAATAAGTTATGAAAGGCATGCTCCTAGTGGGGTGTCTTAAGAAAAGAAGGGAATTATGGAGGAATGTATATCATGACATCTGTGTCTTGTAGGTTCTGTCTTTCCAACAGCACATTCCTGGGTATTCCCAAAGATTGCTATATTGGTCGGAATTTGTGACTGGCCTTTATGGAATTTCTAACAAATTCCAACATATTTAGCTAAAGTAAATCTAAGGCAGAGCTTTTCTAATTATTTTTGTAATTGAATTTAGTCTGGGCGGTGTAATTTAATCAAGAAAAGAATGAAGAATAACTTTTTGACTCATGGGAAGAATTGTATTTTAAGGTCACTTTGCAGTGCTAAGGTCTAGGTAGTACTTCATTCTTTGCAATCCACAGACTTATTTTTAGAGCAAGGGCACAGTGTTTGCTACATCATAGCTAAATGTTGTTTTCAGAACGCAAGCTTTAAAATTGTGATGCTGGTCAGAGTGAAATCAGAAGTAGTGCCTATTTTAGACCTGCTTGGAAGAATATAACTCAATACAGTGTCTTAGGTTTGCTAGTTAGAGGTTTTGCAGACAGCCATCTCCACCTCAGCTCTGAAGGATGGTACGGTAAAATTTTATTGTCTAATGAAGATGGGATTTTTTTTTCACTAAAAAAATAAAATTATAGCCTTTTAAAGATTGAGTGTTGAAAAGAAAATTGCCTTTTCATTTTAGGTATTATTTGACATTTTTTTTTTAATTTAAATTTTACAGGGATAAATTTAGATTATTAGAGGGCAGAAGTAGTTTCCATTTCTCTAAAACTTTTAAAGATCTAAGTTGCTTTAAAAACTGGTATGGTCTGATTTTTGTTTAGAGAACCTAGTTACTTCAAGTGAATTAGCGTGGCTCTCTGCAAAGAATTGGTTTCATAGAGTGGAAATATCTGTAAAATTTAGAATTTACTTCAGAGTTTTCTGTTAGCCTTTTAGCAAACATCACTTTTGAACTACTTTGATTCCTCTTGAACTGCTTTGATTCCAGACTGAGCGTACAGTAAGAAATGTTAGTTGTAAGTGGAAGAACAGTATTTGGCAAAATATTAAAAGATGAAACTGTTCTTTCCATCATAATCCTCCTTCCTACTTCTGTCCACCTTGGAAAGTATGGCTAGTTTAGGCTAGGGCTGCAGAAGGATAGACCTATTGAAGATGAATAATTATTCCTCAATACTCCGTAGCACTCAAGTATAGAATTGGCACTGTTTCCCCAGGGTACCTACTTTTTTTATTTGTTTTCTGTATTGTTATTAAGCCTATATATTTATCTGTTTTTACTAATTTATACAGCAGTGCTTGGGATCTGCAGTCTTGTTGATAAGCTTTGAGCTTTGAATTAATGTTGGTCATAATTTGGAATTTGAAGTTATTGGGAGACTGTTTATTAAACATCCCAACTACTAAGGATGAGTTAACTCAAAACCTGAATCTGGGTTTTCTTTATAGTTTGGTTCTGTGAGTAATGGTATCAGTTAGTTGAAAGTATTGCCAAATGGTGTTATCCTGCTGTATAGCTTTTAGACACATGACTAAGTAAGTAGCTCAAACGTATCATTAAGGTTGATTCTGTTAACTTATTGTTAATCTGTTTTTCTTGTAATTCCCTTCCTAATTAGGATTTAACCGCCACCATGTCGAGCAAAAGGGCAAAGACCAAGACCACCAAGAAGCGCCCCCAGCGCGCAACATCTAATGTGTTTGCCATGTTTGACCAGTCACAGATTCAAGAATTCAAAGAGGCCTTCAACATGATTGATCAGAACAGAGATGGTTTCATCGACAAGGAAGATTTGCATGACATGCTTGCCTCCCTAGGTAACTATTTTTAATATTAATATATTAGAGTTTCTCTGATGTCCTTTATGTTTATTTCTTGTCTCAAAGCCCCATGAAGTCAGTCTGTGAAGCTAATAATGTCATAGTTTACTAAGTCTTAAGAATCTGGAACAGTATTTCCCAAAGTGTGATCCTTGGATTCCTGCAGATTTCTAGCCGTGTCTCAGGATTGGTCTAGGGGCCAGCCTTGAGTGTGTGTGTGTGTGTGTGTGTGTGTGTGTGTTGCAAATACTGATCTTAGATTATGAGAGCAGTCTAATTTCTCCAGACATCCCAATGAAATAACATATAATCTCCAGACTTTTGAATACAGGCCCTATTCATTGAGAAGACTTATCCAGATGCTTTTGCTATCAGGAATGCAACAGCAGACTGTATTAAACAATAATCTTTCTTGTCAAAATTGATGCATTTTATGATATTGTTACAGTTACGACTTTCTTACTTTGTTTAGGGAAAAATCCAACTGATGAGTATCTGGATGCCATGATGAATGAGGCTCCAGGTCCCATAAATTTTACCATGTTTCTCACAATGTTTGGTGAGAAGTTAAATGGCACAGATCCAGAAGATGTCATCAGAAATGCCTTTGCTTGCTTTGATGAAGAAGCAACTGGTAAGTCAGAGATAACCTTTAATTACCAAGTGATTTTTAAATTTGAGGATAGGCATGTTAATTCTGTGGAATCACGTGCTTCTTTGCTTCTGCCATTAAATATTTAATTTATCATTTAATTGGTATATTTGAAACCTATGTTACTTTAGGAAATCTGTGTTACTTCTTTACTTTGTAAGGGTTAGGCTTGCAGTAAATATGTGTTGAATAATGTTTACCAGAGCATTCTTTGATAAATTGTAAAATACTACAGTCTTATATGATTTACTCAAGATTATTTAAATCTTGTATATCTAGCCTTTTGCTCTAGAATCAGACTCCCTGATTTCATATTTCATAGCTGTGTGATGTTGGGCAGGTGCTTATTAAACTGAGAGAAAATATAAGGGGAATACTGACACAGTATGGTTCTTGAGAAGGAAGGCACACCTATTGGTTCCATATTTCTTGGGTTAGTTTAAATAGTTCAGGCGTAGTCTAGTGGTAGAAACATTGTCTCTCCACTCTGCCTTTCAGGTTCCCTACAGTATGGTCACATGTGCTATTTGAGTATACCACCCTTCACTCCTGTGTCATCCTCCCAGTCTCCCTCCAAGCTTCTGTATATTGTGTTAACTTAACCGCCACCATTTCTTTCTTTATGCCTTCCTCATCATACCGTTGTCTTCTTCCTTTTAAAATGGAAGCTCTTAACAGTTATTACTGGTAGGTGTGCAGTGGAAAAGGGGCAAGCAGAAGAAACTCATGTGGAAAAAATCTTATAAAGGTTTTTCTTCTAAAGATACTTCTGTATTGATTGAATGTTTTTGTGAGCAGATGTTTTCTTAATGGAAAAAGGAATAAAAGTATAAGTGTGAAATGTCTTACCCATTTTAAACTCACCTCAGTGGTCACATTCTTTAGAGAGCCTCATGTTTTCTTACTATTTTCTCCTGGGCCCCAAGAAAACTTAAAACCTCTCCTTTCTTTCCACATCCAAAGTATTTTATTTATTTCTCTCCTGGCCCATAACTCTCTGTGACCTTTTATTTGTGTGCTTATTCCCAATTATTACTATCTCCCAGTTCCAGTTTAATGACTGTGGGTCTTTAAAAACACTGTTACCTAAATTCCATCCCAGGCCAAGGAGCTAACCCAACATTGCACAGCAGACCTCTCCTGTCTCACCCGTTGCTCCCCTCAGCAGTGTATTTCAGTCCATCTGCCTGTTGTACTCTCCACTCTGTCTCTGGTGAATCCACTCACCCCCTGCCCTCAACTCTGCGCCTCTGGCCTACACCCCAGTTCTTTAAAAAATATAATATAAAATAAAAGCACTGTGTTATCTTTGTAACCCCTTCTAGCGCCTACCACAGTTCCCTTCCTGATATGGTTATTTTATGTGGTAGTTGAGTAACTTGGGTGGAAATGAGGGCTTATTTCTATAAGCTGAAAGTCTAAGATTTGGAGAACTTTTTTGTTAATCTAAGACTGAGTTTGCAAAAATCCCATAAATCTAGAATTTCTTTTGTGAACCTACATTATATGTTAACCTCATTTTACAGAGATTATATTTTCAATGTTTCAACTTAATTATGCAAAAAGGGAATTTGTCAGATTTTTTACTTTATGAATTTCAAAATCTGCTTGAATTGTCGCTTTTAATCTCTTTAGTTTAATACATTTGTGATTCTCAATCATGATTGCACGTGTGAAGTACTTGGGAAGTTTTTTAATAAGATCAATGCCAGATAATAAATCAAGGGTGGCATCTGGGCTTCATTTTTTTCACTCTCTGTGTGTAATTCTGAGTTGTAGCCAGGTTTTATGAGAACCCTGGTGTCACAATCCCAGAGTAGAAAGCATGCTTTTCAGATTATGCTCCATGTCATCAATGCCTTGCGCAGTGTCTATGGCATAGTTAGCGCTCAATATGTACTCAGTTTTTGCATACCCGGGGCCTGGCCATATTTGTTATCAAATCTAAATTAGATTTTAAAAAAAAAAAAAGGAAAGGAATGAAAAAAACACCAAAAATCTCATAAAAACAAAGAGTTGACGTGAAATGCCTGAAATAACACAGCTTGTTAAAACTGGGCTTCTTTCCACTGAAACATTTTATATTTATGGTGTGGTAGTGATTTTAGTGTTATATACTTGTAAGGTAAGTGTGATCATTCATGCTACTTTAAGGTACCATGAGGCTTAGGTTCTTTTCTAATACTTTTGTGTGTGTTCGTTTAAGCATACATTTAATTCCTGTCTATTATCGAGAGCTCAGGAGATGGATGTGGAGGGAAGTTGATAGAGTAAAGCAAGTTAATACCCCTAGGCAGCTGGGTATTTTCTTTTTCTTTGTAAAGATTTATTTATTTATGCATATAAGAGCTGGGGCACAGGCCAGAGAGATGCAGGGGGGATGAGAGGACTCACCAGAGACAGAGCGGGGAACAGAACAGGCAGACTAACAAATACACTGCTGAGGGGAGCAGTGGGTGAGACAGAAGAGATCTGCTTCGCCATGTGGGTTGATTCCTGGCAGGCCGGGGATTGAACTTGTGCTGTAGAGGCTTCGGATTCCTTCACAGTGTGGTGCTTAACCCCTTGTGCCACCAGGGAGGCCCCAGCTGGGTATTTTCTAGGCAACTGTTTACTGAGACTAAGTGGGGACCCGTATTTCATGTATTTGCATGTTTGTAATTCTTAACATCTGTAGAGCATGCTTAGTTGAGTATAGCTACTCCTTGTAATTAATCTTCACAGTAGTATGTATTCTGATCCACTGGTTCTTTGTTCTTTATTCTTTAGGCACCATTCAGGAAGATTACCTGCGAGAGCTGCTGACAACCATGGGAGATCGGTTTACAGACGAGGAAGTGGATGAGCTGTACAGAGAGGCACCGATTGACAAAAAGGGAAATTTCAATTACATCGAGTTCACCCGTATCCTTAAACATGGAGCAAAAGACAAAGATGACTGAGAAGAACTTCAGATTGCAGCCCCACTTTGGGTATTTTCTGAGACTTTCTTATAAAGCCTTTTGCATGCCCTTAGCTTTACAGCTTTTGCCTTTCTTGCTGTATTTATTCTCAGCCATTTTGGACATATGCATCTCTATAATCAAACTGGAAATGGGACTTTTTGTCATTTTCAGAATAGAAAATAGGGTAATTTAATTTACCAGTTCCCTCTTCCCCCAAATAACTACAGTCTCTCTACAAAGTCAATATATTTTTTCAGAGAAAGTTATTCACTCAATTTTTTCTGAATCATTATTAAACTTTATGATAAAAAATGTGCTTGTTGAAAACTTATTTGTCAAAATTTACTTTTGTTAGTTATTTGCATCTTCCAAAGAAAAGCAAATTAGGTAAATCCTAGAAAATTATATGGTTATGAGAGCTCTCCTATCTATTCTGCTATTCATTTCTACCCCCTTAAATGCAGCTTTAACTACCTTACTCATGATCCTTGCACTTTGTCTTCTAATCTAAAAAATAATTTTTTGGTAGAATTTTCATGTGATAACTTTGGTAGCTTCAAATCCTGGAGTTTAACATACCTGCCGACATCTCTCTTCTAACATGACATCTCCATTTGTTCTAGGCTATTGTACATAACCTCATGTCATTTAAAATTAGACTAGGTCATTGAGTGTAATTTTAATTTGTCCTAATTTTTAAAATTATTTTATCCACAGAGGCTTTATGGTACATATCTCCCAAAAAGACGGCTTTTTTTTTGCATTATATTTCAAAGTGTTGGAAGTACAGTGTAGTATTTTTTATTCTATGTAGTTACCCTTTAGCACAATATTCCCTATTGAAATACTGTGCTTATTTATGCAGACATCCACCAGGAGTCTATGAGTTTTGGACATTCCTGACCTGCCCACAATCAAAACAGCTGCTGATACATGCCTGGGAGGGAAAGTGAGATCATTATTTCAATCCTAAAAATAACTTCTATTTGCAGGAATGAGGGACTATTTCAGAGATAATCAGGAAGTGGTAGTACCATTTTCTTTGGGCTTCAAAGATCTGATGCTCAAAGATCCATGAGTTTAAGAAAGGTTTTGAAATACTGGGGGAAAAGTTTGTTATAAAAGAGTTCACTATGAAGATGAGTAACTGACAATTACTCTAATAATTTGAAGTCAATGCTACTATTAACAAAAGCTATTACCTCATTCAATAAACAATTACTGCCTTAGGGTAGCAGACCTCTGCACTCAACAGAATAGGTGAGCTAGATCCTTTAACCAGGTGAGGCCAGCTTTACCAGAAGTAGAAGGACTAGAAGCAAGACTATTCTTGCCCTCTTCAAAATTAGAATCTTAGGTCCTGCCTTAAACTCTGTGCCTTTTATGTGTTCTGAATTTTAGTCAGTGGTTTAAACAAAGCACATTTCCCAGACTGTACTCATGCTACTAATCTTGTTTGTTGAATTGAATTTCTATTCCAAATGAGTTAAAAAAAAATCACTTTTGCTTTAACAAATTTCTAGTGAAAAATAACAACATTGTTTCCACTATAGGAAAAAAGTGATAGCATCTGCTGAAATGGAGATCTCTTTGTAGTATCCCTATTTTCATAGCTGCTGAAAGAACCATTCTCCATTAGGAGCTATGAATGGTTTTCCTTGAGTGAAATAATTTTCCTAATTTAGTAATATTCTCTGTGAGAACTAGGCTTTACTTAAGCAAAAATAGTTGCCAATACAAAGCTTCAGCATCTACTGCAACAGTGCACTTGACTAAAAAACCAGTCTACACAACTTCCAATTATGAAAGTCATAATTGAAACAAACTATCTCAAAAGTTCTGATGAAATCCACCCAAAAAGGGCAGCATCCTAATCCACCTGCTTATGACCATGTTACTGGATTCCAGGGCCCAAATTTTATTTGATCAAGGAGCCTGTAGCTCAAAAGGGAACTGATCAGTACCGTTAGGAAAAAAGGCAGGAGAACCAGATTATATGAGATAAGAAAAAGCAACCATAAATGAAAGGCAACCATTTTCTATGAAGTATGAGAAGAAAAAAAGCAGATTAGCTTTTTTGAATATTTTCAAGTGAGGCGGTCAGTCTTTTAAGCCCCCCAAAAATCCAGTACAGGAAAGTTTAAATAAGGCCACTAGATTGGGTAAGTTGTGGGTCATACTCATTCCTGTCAGAGTTTTGAGCAGCACAAGACAGTAGACAATGCTAAGTTGTGGGGGTCAAGTAGTCCTTAAGTGAACAAATTAATTTCTCTGAAACCTGCCTAGTTTTTCTCTTTGCTGTCTTGGAAGGTGTTGCCTGGAGCTAAAGGTTTTGCCTAGAGCTAACCCCACCTGAAATAAATGCCTAATTTTGCTGGGAACTTGCTCTTGAATTTCCAAGTCCCTATGTCCTTTTATGCTAGATTTCTATGTACCTGTTTAAATAGTCATGTCATAACTACTCTTTCATATGTATCCACATAAATTTTGTATTGGTAATGAACACACAACTTGATTTTTAGTTTAATGTATCAATTATTTTTCATGTTTTGGCAGAGCTACCTTTTTTTTGGTTTTGAGTAATTCCTTTTTTAAAAAACCATTTTCAATGACCAGTTTATCTTTGACAAGAATATGCCATAATCAACCATTTCATAGGTGCTAGATATTTAGATATTCATCTTTTCATTAAGAAGTTTTTCTTTTGCATCTAGAGAGAACAGTATATATACCTTAGAGCTTTTTTTTTTTTTAAAGATTTATTTATGCATATAAGAACTAGGGTATAGGCCAGAGGTATGAGGGGGTGAGAGGATTCACCAGAGACAGAGTGGAGAACAGAACAGGCGGATTGGCTTAGATACACTGCTGAGGGGAGCAGCGGCAAGTCAGGAGAGGTCTGCTGTGCCATGTGGGTCACCTCCCTGGCCAGGGATGGAACTCGTGCTGCAGTGGCTGCAGGTAGCTTTGTAGTGCTGTGTCTTAACCCCTTATGCCACCAGGGAGGCTCCCCTTAGAACTTTTTTTTAAGAACATTATCCATTGGAACTTTCTGTGATACTGGAAATGTTCTTTGTGCTGTTAAATAGGGACACTAGCCACGTGTGGCTAAAGAGTACTTAATATGTCCAATATAACTAAGGAACTGAATTTTAAATTTAATCACATGTGGTTAGTGATTTTTGGGCTGGACAGTATAGTTCTAGAAACTCAAATATGGAGATCAGTGTGAAAGTACAGTTATGTCTCAGCTATGACCTTAATAAAGGTGGTTTGGGTGGAGGTTTATAGGATGGCAATGCACCATACATAGAGTCTGTGACAGATCTAAGAAGACAAAACCTGTTTAATGGGGAAAAAAAGTAAGCTATTGAACTTAAGGGCAGATTGTAGCTTAAGCGAAAGTCAATAAACATTTCAGAACCAGGGATGACTATCAGCAATTGCTTTTCAAACTTAATTGAGAAAATGCATTCATTTATGAGCTAGACCTTGGACAGTGCTTTTGGGAGGAGAATCACAGTGTCCGCACATACCTGGATGCTTATGAGAAATGCAAGTTATAGCCCCACTCTGGAGACCTGAATCTCAATGTCTTCAAAATATTTCATCAAGACTTCCAAATTTTTCTTGGGAGTTCTAAGAACTGCTATAGAATGATAAACACATCCTACTCTCTAGGAATTTCTGATCAAAGATTTCTACAATGTAAAAGACTGAATAATTCACCTCTACATTATGTTCAAGCAATCACAGGCGCTCAATAAAGACTTGTTATCAAATTGACTATTTTCCATGCTATTCATCAATATTATTCCAAGGTGAGGGAACTGAAATAGTCACGATATCCAGGACAAAACTGAATAATGTAGGTTAGTGGCTTCCTTGTTTTAACCAAAAGCATTATATAATGTCTGTGCTTATATATGTGTGTGTAGTTGTCTTTCTTTTAATGACCCAAAGGAAAGCAAATCATTTGAACTTCTTTTGTGGCCGAAAAAGAAAGTCTTAGGCTGACCGTGGCCTGGTGAGACCATAAACCTTGTCATTTGAGGGTAAAAAGCGTATGGGAGTGAATATTACTCGATCTGGCACGCAGGAAGGATTTTCCAGCAGGCAGTTCACCGGCCACCACCCTCTTACCTTCCGCAGTATTACGCGGGAAGTACTCTTAAAATTGTCTTTTTATCCAAGTTCAAATTTAACTAGAGAGTTGCCCTTTTATTTGCTGGCAGCCCCGAGTTGGGCGGCTTCCGGCGCCGGACCCCCACAAACTGCAAGGGGCTCACACCCACCCACCGGGTCAAATTCCAGGCCCGGGCCGCGCCCCGCCGCGGGAATGCGGAAGGGCCGCGGGAACGCGCCGCGGCGGGAGGGGGGTCCGGGCGGCCGCGGGTTTAGCCGCCCCGCGGGGGGGCGGCCGCAGGGGCGCGCGCGGACGGCGGGGCCACCTCACCCCGGCCTGTGTCCATCGGCCCCAGCCGCTGCTCGGTGAACACAGCGCTCTCCGTTTGCTCCCGAGCGGGAGGGTAGCGCGCACCCCTCTCCCCGCCCGCACTTGGACCCGCCGCCGCTTCCGCCGCGCCTTCCGGTCCGCGCCGGAGGCAGGAAGTGCCGGCGCCACCACTGTCCGCCGCAGCCCCGCGCCCCGGCCGTCACCCGTCGTCTCGCGCAGGCCAGCCCGCGTTCTAGTGTCTGGCAGCGGTGAGTGGCGACAGCCCTGGAAGCAGGCCCCGTCCTCTCTCCTCCTGTCCTGTGCCCGCGACCGGGCCGGGGGAGCCGGGGGCCGCGGGACCTGTCAGGTTGGACGCGGAGGGTCAGCGAGGAAGCTCCGGCTCGGGCCGGGCCGGGCTGGGCCGTCGGGGCCGGGAGGGGCAGAGCGGGAGTCCCGGGCTGGGGAGACGCCCCGCTGGGGAGTGGGGCCGGTCCCGGGAGCGCGGCGCCGCCCTGCGTCACCCGGTGACTTCACACACCTGGGGCCCCGGACCGCCCCGGCGCCCCAGCTGCCCGTCTCGACCCGGATGCACGATCTGTACCCACAAAGTGGGGATGCATAGGAGTCCCCTGGTGCATGGTTCTTCCTTAGGTGAATCAAGAAAGGTTTCCTCGAAAGAGAATCATGGCCTCATTGAAAGCTTTTGATTCACTTCTAGGAGGGAGAACTTAGTACCTCGGACTGCAACTGCGGTAAAAGGTGGCCAAGGCCGAAAGCTTAAAAGGTGGGAATTTTGTAGTGTGAAAGGAGGTGGTGGGGAAGCCAGCCTGAATGGAATACAACTGTGAAGCATACTAGAAGAATAGGTAGGTAGGTCGGCGGGCAGGCAGGGGCCTTTTAGTGAAAATTTGATGAGAAATAAAAGATTATGTAAGAGGCATTAGAGTCATTGTGGATTTTTCACTAAAGGAGTAAAATGAAGAAAGGCGTGTTTCGGGGATTACTTTGGCAGTCTTTGCTTGCGATGGGTTTAGAATGGTCCATTGGTAAGAGAATTATAGAATTACAGCATTTTTTAAATAAAAAGAACCTTGTAGTTTATCTTGTGAAACCATTTCATTTTATAATTAAGGAAACTGAAACCCAGAGAGGTGAGGTAATTTGCCCAAGGTTACTTGGAGACTCAGTGCCAACCATTTTTCTCTGTAAGCATTAGGTAGATCCTCCTGGACCTTATAACTAAGGGCACAGCTCTTTATTCAGGTTCTGTTGAATGAAACAACTTTGCTGACTCACTAGCCATTTATGTTTTAATGAGAATGAGTTTCAACCAGATGAACTACCACTACTGAAGGACAGATTACTGGGTGAGAGTTGCTGACAGATAACAGAAAGAAAGATAATAGAATTTAGAGCCTCTTTAATGGGGTTTGGTGTCCCTCTCTCCCAAGATTCGGAGACACCTGATAGCCAGGGGTCATTTTCACTGCCAGAAACTCTGATAGGATTCTTCCTTCCTTGTTCCACACTTTAGCTATGTGTGGCATTGCTTACCCCCAACTCACTATCCACATTTTCATGGCAGAGATTTCACCAGCCTGTATGCAGGCTATATGGGGCTAGTCCTGGATATGTGCTGTACCATTTTCCAGCTTTGTGGCTGCAGGTTAATTGTTTATCCTATTTGCCTTAATTTCCTCATCTGAGAAATGGAACTAATAGTGCCTGTTGTCATAAATTGTGAGGATTAAATATGTTGATACATATGAAATGCGTAAAGTAGTCCTATCACATGTTTAGCATTAGGTATTGGCTATTTATTAGTATTTTTTCTTCAAGGTATGGAACAATGGGTAAGTTTTGTTGAAGATGTTTTGAGGAAGAGTCCAGTGGAACTTATGATGAACCATGCATTTTAAAAGCCTTATTTGATTAGTCAGATCCTTTATAATGAACACAAGTCAAGTATATGTAATTCTATCTGTGATAGGAAGGAAGCATGTATATGCATTCAACTTCCTAGAATTTATTTATGACCTGCCTTGTGTAAGGCGCTCTGCTAGATCCTGCAATCCAAGGTAGAAAGGCCAAGGCCATAAAAACGTGCATGTAAATGGCATGTTATGAAATGCCACTTGGCAGTAAATAAAAGAACCACTGATGAATGCAACAAATAAATGAATCTCAAAAACATTTGAGTGAAAAAAGTCATGTATTTAGCATATAAACTAATTCGTGTTCAAAGATAGATACAACTAATGTATTGTGATAGAAATCTGAGCAATGATTGCCTATGGAAGAAGGTAATTGACTTAAAAGGATCTTTCTGGAGTAATGTTAACATTTGTAAATTGTTTGGGGTGGTGGTTATATAGGTATACCCATTTACAAAAACTCACTTCTAGTATGAGCTTTACATTTTCCTTTATGTAAATTTCACTGTGATAAAACAAAATGATATGGGAGTTCAGAAGTTGGAAAATTTACTGTCAGCGGGGAAAATCCTAAAACCCATGATAAAGAAAGATGATTGTATAGACTGTAAATGATAAATATTAAAATACATGCTACAGGGAAAATATAAGAAAAAATTAAGTTTGAGGTTAATTGTTGGGAGTATTTATCTTGATTATATATTTTTTAAGATTGATTTATGTATGCATACAAGAGCTGGGGTACAGGCCAGAGGTGTGGGGAGTGAGGGGATTCACCAGAGACAGAGTGGGGAACAGAACAGGCAGACTGGCCAAAGTACACTGCTGAGGGGAGCAGTGGGCCAGTCAGGAGAGGTCTGCTGTGCCATGTGGGTTGCTTCTCCCTGGCCCACTGGGGGATCAAACTTTGTGTCTTAACCCCTTGCGCCACCAGGGAGACTCTATCTCGATTATATTTTAAATTTCTTCATAGTCGTTGTTTTTCAAACTGTTGCTCATATATCCAGTTATTTGATTCTCTCCACTAGCACAAACAGTAGGTGTGAGGTTTTTTTTTGTAAGTTATAGTTATTCAAGTAATGTTGGTTTACATCACAGTATGTCTTAGGGGTCTAGGTTTACACTGCTACAGTTGATTGCATGTTATTTCAGCACCTCCATCAGACCTCTCCTCTATCCTACCTGCCACATCCTCCTGGTAGCCTTAGTCAAAGCCCAGTGTGCTCTTCCCCCTGGTGTTTTCACCCCTCCCTTTCTTGTTCTCCCTCCCCTTCCTTTCTGGAATGCCTCAGAACTATGGTCAGCTTTCAAGGTTTGTCTTTGTCTGACTTTTGGGTCTAGCTGGCTGTGGGGGCTATGCAGGCTGGTGGGGACAGAGCTGCGAGCCGGGTGGTTGACCGCTCTGTACTGGCTGCTTCGGAACTCTGTAATCAGCCAGTACATCAGCAAACACTGCTCGCGTCGCCTCCGGCCAAGTCAGCAGTAAACGGAAATCTCTGACGACTGCGTTTCTGCCCCAGTGGAAACCAACCCTGCTGGATTGCTCCTCATGGGTAGTTACCTCGGGAAGCCCAGCTCCCAGCTGCCTGCCCCGACCGGGGAGGGCAGGGACCTGTGGGAGCGACCTGGACGTCGCACATGCACACCCACCCCCACTGCTCAGCCGGCACACTCTCACTGTCACCCTTACCACAGTCACCCTCTCTCCCATCTCCTCCACCCATTTGGAGCCCTTCCTACTGGGATCGTGAGACTTTGCCAGATCGGTTTGTAATAACTCCTCAAAGACAGTATCCAATCCAGCAGACCCGGTATTCCTTGCTGGGGATACTTCCCACAGTGTACTGGAATGGTTATCACAAGAAGACTGTGCTGTCTGCTCATAATTCCAGAATGGTGTGCAGCCCAGTCACAGTAAGGATTGCTCCTCCTGATAGATTGACTCCTTCTCTACTACCAGAGCGCATAGTCAGCTCACCTCTGCCCTCACCATCGAGTAATGCCCTAGGCCCATGTGCAAAGGAGACTGGATCGAGTATTCTCAAAGAGAAGAATAAAAGGTCGGTGGAGGAAGAGGAGCAAATATTTGATAATGGCCAGGAAAACCAAGAAGGTACCCTGCTAGCAGTGGAAGTGGCCATGTAGTATTTGAGCCCCTGATAGCCAGTGGAGTTCCTACTGCTTTTGTGCCTACGCCTGGGTCGCTGAAGAGAGGTCTCAACTCTCAGAGCTCAGATAACCACTTGAATAAGAGATCCTGCACCCCTCCTTTGAGCTCCTGGGCAAGTGCATACAGAAGTGGTATCCCTAGCTCCAGCCACAATACTGTTGCCAGTTCTTACAGCTCTACCAGTTCGTCACTCTTTTCTAGCACAGCTTCATCCCACTTCCAGGTACCAGAGATGCCAGCAAAGAAAACAAGAGGAGAGATTTCTCATCCTTCTAGCTCTTCAACTCCATTGGTAATAGAGAAGGTGTCCTGGGGAGATAAGGTTGCAGATACAGCCATGTGGAAGAAACAGAACTCACAGAATTCCTCGTCTACACCTGGAAGCTCTGGGCAGCGTAAACAGAAGGTTCAGCTGCTGCCCTCCAGGCAAGGAGACCAGCTGACCCTGCCCCCACCTCCCCAGCTTGGTTATTCAATCGGAAGACCTAGACTTGGAAAGGAAAGCTTCATTGCGATGGCTTAACCAAGTCTTGGAGGATAGAACTGATATAGCTTTGAGCTGTCACTGAGAACCCACATAACACCACTCAGCTTTTTACCCTACCTGCTATTGGGACTGCTTCTTCCCCCAACACCCTCCCTACCCCAAGCACTGACCCACTGTCGGAGAGCTTGAAGAACATGCATGATTCCCCGCGCCTCCCGTCCTTCCCAGGCTCGGCTGGCATGGCAGTAACACCTGAGGCTCATATGCCTCTGAAGACTCCTGGCCTCCCAACCCCTCCAAATGTCTCTTTAGACAACAAATCCACAGTCACTTTCTTGGGCCTGACCCCTGAATCTTCCATACCAGTCACTGACACCAAGTCACCTCTGACCCCTCAGGCTGAGACTTCCATCAAAATCTAACTGCCTCACCCCCCCCCCACCCCAAGCAGAGTATTCTGTTTGGAATGCTAAGTACCTCACCTTCTAATCCTTCTGCCGCTGCAACTGCTGGTGTGTCTGCAGCATCTCCCAGGTTCAGTCCCATCTTTGAGACCCCAGCTAAAAGTGAGAATGAAGACACCTTGCCATCCAGACCTTCCAAGGCCACAGCTGCAGCATCTTCCAACTCTGTCTTCCCCATGACTCCCAGCACCTCACCTCTCACTATCAATCCTAT